CTGAAACCTTTAACATGCTTCAGCTTAAGTTTTTACATTTACTTCTCTATTGCTTGGATGAAAACGTATGTGGTCAAAAGTGTTGGAGGCTACAGAAGGTTCAGTTGAGCGTGTGTTACTAAACTAGTAAACAGTGCATCGACTTTTACCGTGGGTAGCTCGTAATTTCCCCTCCCACATGACACAATCTGCTGACCGCTGCCAAACTAAAAGTGACCCGACACTTCCACATGATCGTGCTCAGATGCTTTATAAGCATTATCAGTGTTTACAACCAGGGGTATCAGATGAGACGGCTGCAAACAGCCAGACCACTGAAAGCGAACATATAAAAGTAATAATCATTAAAACACAATTAGCTGTACGCTTGGTACAGCAGTCCTGCAGGTGAATACAGACACAGATAAATGTATTGCTATTCAAACTGTGATTCATTTCTTATAAATGAAAGGGATTCTGTTAAAACCAATTGTCTATTGTAAATCTACATGCTTTGGAAGTCAAAAAGTATGATTAATAATACTAATAATCTTTGCAGTATAGCCTTGTTTCAAATTAGATGTTTGACCATCATAGGAACCATAATGCACTGAATGGAGGAAGACTATCCACTATTGATAAAAATGCAATAATACCAGACAAGTTTTAACCAGAATGCATGTTGACAAGCACCACTGTTTCTGGGACTGATGAGACAAAAATAGAGCTTTTTGGCTTCAGTCACATCACTTGTGTTATTTGGGCAGGTTACCAACAGATTTATCCAACTCTGTACGTTCAGTTGCTCTTTTCTTTTGGTTAGACTCGGAACACAAACATTTATTCTGGGAATAAAGCGGACTGAATTGGGTTTCACACCCCGCAGATAATCCAATAGTGAGGTTTATGCATTTAAAATTGTCTTCAGCTGGATGGTAGAGAAATGTTGGGACAGAAAAAGCTCAGGGGAAGGCATGCAGCCCGTGGAGAGAGTGTCTGTCAGAGCTCATCATCCATGAGTCCCGTAGCTCTAACTCGATGTGTAACGATGATCGGAGAGCGTCGTTCTATTTTTCCTTCCTTCTGTGTGGCTTCATCTCTGCAGTCATTTCTGCTCATCTCCCGGGCCCATTCACACTCTCTCCCAAGCTGACTGTCCTGTTGATGGCGTCAATGTGCATGCCTGATTTTTGTCGGCACATTTTGCGTATTTTTTTGCTTGTACCCACACACACGTATGGCTGATTGTTTGTGTGTGGTTGTTCTGTTGGCAGACAGAAGGCCTACAATAAGACCAGTACATTGTGCTATTCACACACTCGTTTTGTGACTTGGGCCTTTCTGTTGATGGAGGCTCTGTCGTTCGCCATTATGAATAAAACAGTGATGAATCTTGTCCTTTTATCTATTTATCTGATTTCATTAAAAAAACAAACAAAAAAAACATTAGATTTGTATTACATATGTGTTTTGGAAGATGCTTCTGCTGTTTTCCTGTGTAAGCCTAATACACTAAATCTTAGTTGTGCAAAACTTAATGAGGAAGTTTAGTTGAACTGCTACACAAAGACGTTACATATTTCAGATTTTAATGAACCACATTTGTTTATTTTAACTTAAAAAAATAATTAAATCCGCTGCAAAAAGTCAAAGGAGAACAAATGAAGGCCCCTCATGACAAGGGGCACGTGTGGGATACAGCCTCTTAGCCCTTAGGTTCCGACCCTTTGGTGGGAGTGGGTGCTGCAGTCATAGCGAGATGGGAACTAGTTTGTTGTGTCATGTTAACTCTAATTGCTAAAGCTAGCCGCAGGGTTAAAGCAGGGCTAACAGCTAGGCTAAAAACAGCTTGTTGCAACACATTAGCTGGAAAGAAAATCCTAAAGGTACCAAGCTAATGCTACCTCTAAGGAAAGCTAGATTGCCTTGATGCGTTGGCTTGAGTTGCACCTGTAAGCACGCGGTTACTTTAAAACTGAACGGTGGGAACAGCTCGCACTGACACAGGCACCGCTTCCAAATGTAACAAAGATACTTCTCATGAAGCACCAACTTACTCAACACGGTTCAAGCTGATGCCAGGAACTGCATTCGACGACGTACTCATTTACGGGATACCTGTGAACTGTTTAGCAGCTAACCTAGCTAGCCTGACTGCACTGATGGAGCTAGTTGTAGTTTCCCATGGGAAGAAAGTGAGAATGAATAGGAGGTGGTCAGTTGACGGTGGTATCACGATAAGGGCGGAGCCCATTGGAGCTACAGTAGTTGGTCACGCTGGAGCGTTTCCCATAGTGAAACACTAAACGAAGTTAGAAAAAATAAAAAACAATGTTTTTGTCCAGGGTTGTGACCCTGGATTCACATGTCTGTTTCCTACCAAAATACTTTAAGAGCAAATGGTTAAATTTGAACAAAGCTTGAAGAAAGTAATCATTGGATGAATATCCACTGGACAGGTTTTCATGAAGCCTTCAGAAAATAGTTTTAGTTAATTCAGGATTTATTGGTTGTACAACGGATTATATTTTGGAGCCCATTTGATTTAATCTTATCGACACTAACCAGCATAAATATAGCTATAACCCATACAAGTTTACCAAATTTGAATTAAAATTTGTAGGCGTAGTAGGCAAGACTCCTTTACAGCGCGTACTCTGAGCACTATAGCATCTTGCAAGATGTCATGAAATTGTGCATAATGTTATGGCTACAACTGTCATGATTTCAGTCTGAAACTCAGGCATGAAAGCTGGCGGGCAGCAAGCATTCTTTAATATTAGGCCTTTAGTTTGATTAATAAAATTTTCCTTACAGAAAGCTCTTTTAAACACAACATGCATTTTTAACAGAACAACTTAAATATAAATACAGGGGGAAAAAGTGTAATTGGCCAACAAATATTCCAGCACACATCCCTTCTTTGAAAGCAACTTGTTGCTTTACAGTTTAACATTTTGCAACAGAAATGTGGTGAAAAATATATATATATTTTTTTTAACCTCCTAGGACCTGGCATCCACATCTGCAAGAGTTTGGGTCTTAGGAGGTTAATGAAGTGCTTTCTAAGAAAATTTAATGTCAGCAAGAACTTTGTGTAGCTTTTTAGCCAAAAACTAGACAAAGTGATGTTATTGTTCAGAACAGTTTAAAAAGCTCTTACTCAGGGACATTACTTTACCTGCTCTGCTTGTGAATCCTGATTATATTTTTGTTGAGTAATAAATATGCAAAATGTTAATTCAACATGTATTTATGGTGTGTAGGTTAAATTATAGGATGGGTTGTGTGACTTGCAGTGGCCTTGAGTATCCTGTGAAAGACTACATCTGCACCATCTGCCAGTGGTCATGGGGGGTTGTGCTGATGTGTCATGACAAGCCACTCAAACGCACTGCGAACCCTCAACGTACACTTTATAGAAACACACACACACATGCTCACACAGAGCCATTGGTTCAAACCCAGCAGCTCCTGTTTATGAGGCTGTGACCCCTTTGTGTTCATTACGCCTTCTGTCATGATGGATCACATAGTCATAAAATAAAACTGGAAGTGGACAGAACCTATTTCAGTGGTGTATTCATTAAAATCAAAACAAAACAAAACAAAAAATTACCTTTGCACCTCATTGGGTTCATTTTAGCATAGGTTTGCTGTGTACTGCTGACATATTTTCATCCTGAAGAATTCTCTGCAACCTCACTGTGCCTGTACAGGCTTGCATCAGTCCTTAGGTTCTTTCTGTATGGTCCATGAAAGCGATGACTGCTTCATGAAGAATCCTTTTTTTGACAGGAGACGATCAAATGATTAGAAGTGTTCAAATTCATTCAACCTTTATTTATACACGTTAATCCCATTGAATGCATTACATTAATGCATTACAGTAGTCCCTCGTTTATTGCGGGGGTTATGTTCCGCCCCCCCCCCCCCAGCCACCCCCCGCAATAAGTGAAAATCTGCAAAGTAGGGACGTTATATTTATTTAGTATTAATATATATTTTAAGGCTTTAGAAACTTCCCACACTCTTGCACTGTTCTTAACACTTAAACGTACATCATTTTAACAACATACATTTATGTACTGTACACTATTGCAAAATTTTACTCACCATCTCTGCAGAACACTGGTTCCGGTCCGATTCAATTCCAGACCTACCCTGCCAGACCTACCCTGCTGGTTCTGGTCCAGTTCTGGTTGGTTCTCTGCAGCCCTTTAGCACCAAAATGATTTTGGAGGGAGCCGGACCTTCGGATGGCCAGTACAGGACCACACATTGCTCCCGATAGTCCAAATCTGGGTGGGGGAAGTCCCAGTGGGCTCTGGAGAGAATGCCAGACCTCTGGGCAGCACCTCCCTGCTTGGGAGGCCTCGTGGGCCAGTGAGCGGCACTCGGATGCGGTTCTCTGCATTCAATTCAATTCAGAAATACTTTATTAATCCCTCTGGGATTAATAAAGTATTAAAGATTAATAAAGACGTAATAAAGATTAATAAAGTCCAGCATCCACTGGACGCCAAAGTCACTAGGAATAAGGACCAAACTTTTTTGGGATCAGATCAAAACTTTCCCTCCTTTTCAGCAGAAGGCAATGGCTGGAAGCACTGTTGATTCTGGGTGGGGCACTGTTGGCTTCTGGGTAATGTAGTCCTTTTGAATGGTGATAGAGTAGGTCTATTGAGAGAAAACTACAAAATGGCAGCACCTGTCCAAAGTTTTTTTTTTTTTTTTACTTTTCATTGTATCCCATACTGTCCCAATCATGTGAGTAATATTAAAGTTGACAATCTGTGTCCTATACATTTTTTTTTCTTGTTTACAATCTTACTTTGAAAAACTGCCAAAGAGCAAGTCCGCAAAAGTTGAATCACGACGTAATGATGGACTGCTGTATAAGCGTTTTGAAAAATTGGCTGAAGTTTACAGTTCAGACCACAACTTTGAATGACTTTGACTTATTCTTCTCGCTCACCATGTTTTTTGTTCTTTGTCTACTGTACCTTTGGTTGTTGCAGACCCTGGTAGGAGCGTGATGAGCGCGCGCTTCCACTTGCCTGCTGGCAGATCCTACAATGTCCGGGCGACGGAGCTGGAGCGAGACAGACAGCACACACAAGTTGTGTGCAACATACTGCTGCTGGACAACATTGTGCAGCCGTTCAAAGTCAACGTAAGTAGCTTAATACTTTCAGATTTCAGAATTCCTCTCTGACTTTTATTAGCTTCATTAAAATTGATACAATTGTTGATATAATACAGAGCATTCTGTTGACATTAAGCCCTTTTCAGTTTTTACATTCAACACGGTGATTCCAATTACTTAGCCATTAAAGCCACAGGTTTACTTTAGTGTGAATAACGGGAAATTATTTTATGCATCTGCAAAGTGCATTTGACATATTTTCTTCAATAATTATGATTTTTAATAACTCATATTTGCCCAATAACGAATGCCTAGCTTTCTTTGAAGGAATACATATTGCCCGCTGTCCTTCAGGCCAGCACTTATGATAATAAATAAAGTGCTATGTGTTGCCATCATTGTATGTTCCCATACAAAGATGAAATTGCCTCTCTGCATTTAACCCATCGCATCTGGGATATACCCAGGTGGAGCAATGGGCAGCTATGTAAGCACCCGGGGAGCAATTCGGGTGTCCTGCTCAGAGACACCACGAGATCTGCCAAGTGACCGAGGATTGAACCCAGGACCTTCGGGTCCTGAGTCGGCTGCCCTGCCCCTACACCATATGTTAAGTAATGATGAGCTGTAGCTGTTTTGAACCTTGTAAATATCATGTGTGGTCTCATGTAATATGAGATTTCGTGCTCGGAGTGTGTGTTGTAAATGACTCTCATTTACTACCACACAAAATTTTACCTCAGTGTCTGTGAAACTGGCTGAGTCATAGCCATTTTTGTTTTGTCCAAGGCTGATTAGCTGTGGTGAACACCTTGAAATGGGTTGTCCACATGTTAATAAGTTTTAGATGATTGATTGCCTGTGATTATTTTTTTAAAGTGGTTCATTAAGTCTGTCCAGTGCGTAGTTTGCTAACTGAAAGACACAATCAACTGCAGTAGTTAATGGCAAAGTTTTAAATATAGATCTTGCATGGTCAGTTAAAGCTCAAAGTATGTGTTGGGAATGATGCTTCTTCTACTACCACACCAAACTTTAGCTCAGCATCTGTAAACTTTACTGTTAAAGCCATTTTCGTGTTTGCTAAGCTGTGGTGGCCATCTTGAATGTGGCAGACTCCAAAAGTTATTTTTCTGCAGAGGTACATCTGATTATTTTTTTTGAAAGTTACACTGAAATCCACTGGTTCATGAAATATGTTGGTAATGTTAGTGGTAACTTAAAGAAATCTTCTGGTATTGCTCCCTCCTCTTTTCTATCACTATCTTTTACTTAAGTTTGTGTAAATCTAACCCTCCTCTGGAGCCCATCTCTGATTAATTTGAGAGTTTATAGTGAGGAAGTTTCTGTGGGTCTGGACACCTTCAGTGAAATACTTGTAAATCTCAGCCCCAAAACTACTTTTTCTTCCTTTTGCATTGATATTTAAATCAAACTGTTCTTCACTCCACTCCTCCTGTCTAGTTTCAAACTTTGTTATTGGTGGTCTTAGTGAGTCGATCACTTCCAAGAACATGTAGATGGGTGGGGAAAAATGAAAATGTGTTACTCATGCTTCAAATCAAGTGACAAATAGATTTGTCACAGACTTGGTTATTTGTCACGTCTCGTCCTTCATGTGTCTCACCGTCATGTGTTTGATCAGATGTATGTTAGCATGAGCCTGGGAATTCCCTTACTGAAGCAGAAGTTACAATTCTTCTTTTAAATATGTTTTTTTTTAACGGACCACATCCTGATATTTTGAAGTCTGTGCATGACGTGTGCTTTTACTCATCCATAGAATACACAAATGTTCAAGTGTTTATGTATTCTCTAATTGGTAAGGAATGCAATTTTCTGTTTATCTTTTTGGTAAATTTACATTAAACTAACATGCTAATAGGCCTGTCACAATAACAAATTTTGCTGGACGATTAAGTTTCTCAGAAATCATTGCGATAAACGATAATATTGTTTGAAATGTGACAGTAATTAATAATTATTGTCAAATTTAAGAAGAAATGTTGGTTAATTTGTTTTGAGTGTAGTACCTTTTTGGACCACCGAATGGCAGTATAAGACTGTTTGAACCGAAGGATGGATAGTGAGGGAGCAAGCAGTGTGTCTCTTTAAGAAAAATGGGAGGGAGGCCCCTTGACGTGACATGGGCTGTCCCTCCTTTTTTTTTCCAGTTCTCAAAATGGCGGATGCTCAACGTTTCAACAAAAAGAAACCGTCCAGAGGACCTGACTTAACTTTGTTGGACAGTAAATATTGTCAAAACAATGATGTTGTTAGTTGAAACAATGGGCAGACATCTTCAGGTCTTTCAAGAAAATGATTTTTCAATAAATGCAACAAATTTTTTATCATTCATGTTTATAAAATGGAATAATTACAACCTGAATAGGAAGTTATTCATGGAATCTTGTTTTATAGCTAAAACATATGTCATATTTAGTACGATAAGCTTTGAAATAATAAAAAAAAAAACATAATAATAATAATTAAAAAAATTATTAAAAACGTTCAAGGAACATTATTTTACCTTTAAGGCACTCTTTCAGTTGACTGACAATGTTAGGACCATTCTGCAAGCATGGTCACGGTTACATCAAATTGTTGCATTAAGAAATTTAAATGTTGTTTGTAGCAGGCTTAATTCTGTGTCAGAACAGTAAATATCAACAAATAACGATTAGTATCTAAAGGGTGACAGTTAATTATATATATATATATATATATATATATATATATATATATATATATATTATTCTGGGATTACGTGTGCAGCTCTCCCAGCCCTGCACAGTCCCCTCTGCATGTTGCTGAATGAATGTCAGTGTCATTGATCAGACCCCTACTGCCGCAGTAACTTCCTGGAAAGACGAGCCATCTTAAGAGCAACAATACGTCTATTGATCCACTTCCAGTGAAAATCCAGCATCATCCACTCGCTGTCATGGAAACCAAGAAACTTGAGTGCATGAGAATCTGCATTGATGACAGTAATAGGAAGTAATGGGAAGTTTTCAGTTGAATTGATAATTGATATAAAACCTGATAAATGGCAGGAGTAATAATAATAATAAAAAGGCCTACATTGCTTTTTCTCTCCAACAGCAAGGTCATTGGCATAATTATTCAGATTTAATGCAGGGGTTACTATAGTAACCGCTGCTCTCATCATAAACATTCAACTGTCTGGAATAGATTGGATGTAAAGAAGGTCTTGGACATAAGAGGAGTGGCAAAATGATCTATAATTCTTTAAAATTACTACAGTATAAAAATGAGATCTCTGACTGCGCAGATACTTTGCTCCAGTGTAAACAGTCATCCAACCTGTTTTAAAAGTATAGTCATAAATTTGTCTGTCCAACCATGCATCCATCCATCCACAGGTCACAAGTCCATCAAAGACCCACATAGAAACAAATGAGGCAACACTTCATGCGCTTGACAATTTAAGGTTAGCATTTAACTTGACATGCAAATTTTCATCTGTGGGAGGAAACTGGAGTACCCAGTAAAATAGACAACAATCATGCATGCATGGAGAGAACATGCATAATTCATGCAGGAAGGCCGGAAGGTGTACCTGCAACCTTCTTGCTGTAAGGCGACAGTGCTAACCACTGTGTCACAGTACTTCCCAAACATAGGCATGTTTTGTGTAAAATAAGTTATTGAATGGTTTCACCACTTTACTTTGTAAACCTAATCCCATAAATAAAACTACTGTCTGCTCAGTAACAGTGTTTTTACTAGATGTTGGTGACAAAATTTGGGGCATAAAAAAAACAGTTTAATTGGTCACGGCTGCATCGCAAATCCTGTTAGAAGTACCTGTAAGCATAATCAGAAATTTTCTCGTAACTTCTTTTTGCTAATTTTGATTGTAGATGCAAGAACGTAGATGCAATGTAGATGCAAGAATGTGTAGATGCAACATGCAATAAATAAACAAATACAATTGCAAATAAACATAATTTATTATTTACAAAAAAAAAGACCAACAAAACATTGGGAGCGTATATTATGCTCCTACCATTTATCATACTGCAAATAAGTCACAGGAAAACCAAAACTATTAGTTATTATTATTAAGCTGCAAAAGGGAAAGAAACGTGCGGCACGTAAAAAAACAAAACTAAAAACAGTGGGGCGGACGACCAATTTTAGAGATGAATATGTTTATAGGTTTTTTATATAGGTTTAGAGATTAATATTTTTTGCTTTTTGTTTGAAACAAGGTCAGAAGGAAGCTGGTACTGGTTCGATCGATTGGACCCGGTGTTGCACCATATTCTGTGACCTGCAACAGTGCATGCAACACCGCCCACTACAGTCACAATATACGGTGGTCACAGAATATGGTGTAACACCGGTTCGCAACGAGCTCCTAACAGTCAGGAAGTTTATTCATTTTCTGCTTCCTTATGGTAGTGGAACCAGAAGATTCATCTTTAGTGAAATATTTCCATACTATTGATGCATTTCTACATGTTTGCCAAGACTGAACCTACTCCGCGCCATCCGTTTGCTTGGAGGAATCCATTTTGTAGCTTCTACTAGTAGCCTGCGCCTGGTGTGGATCATGTGACACGTGAGGCAATGACGTAACTGTGAATACTCTACATGAAATGTAAAAACTCGCGAGATGTCCTAGGAATAGATGTGTCGATTACTTGAGTAGTTTGTTAAAGCCCTATTTGAGAAACATAAAGAAAGTTTTGAACAACTAAATTCAGGAACTTGCTCAAGGTATGCTTTGTGAAGAACTCATCTACAGCCGCCCCAGATTTTAGAACAATATTTGTAAAATTGTGTGAAATATCAAAATGACACTCAAGTAGGGATGCATGATATTGGATTTTTGGCCAATAGCCGATATACCGATATAAGACTTATTTGGCCGATAACCAATACCAATATTTGTTTGTATATACTTTCCTTTGTCAGAACATAGCTTTCTTATTTAGGTTTATGTGCTACAATTTTTTTTAACGGCTGTAAGAGCTGGTGACATATATTCAATAACA